CCACGCACCATTATTTGGAGCACAGCAATTTTCCAATTTTCTACTGGGACATTAATTTTCTGCCCGCTAAAACGCCACGTAAAAAATTGAATAGTCAGAAACTCCACCCACCTTTTTCTTCATCAAGGTTTCCGCTCTTGGCTGAGGAATCCAAAATCAACCTATTTTCAGATTCATCTTCGGAGGAATCGGAAAGCAATCTTCCTCTTCTCTGCTTCTGTTTGGTACTCGGAGCCTCACTATCATCAGAATCCAAAGCGGGATCCTTCACTTCACCAGGGTCTTCTCCATTTTCTGAACTTTCAGACACTTGCTTCTTTCGTCGAAGCTTGGCTTTCCCAATGACACCAGCATCCCTGGGGGCCTCGTCATCAGAGTTGCTGTACATTAGTCTTCGAGCCCGCTTCCACGCCTCCTTGTTTCTGCTTCTTTCGCCGACTCGGGAGTTGCCAGCTTTTCTGTCGCTGTCGACGTCGTCACTTGACGAATCGTTTGAAGAGACAGACGACGAACGTTCAACGTCGGCGCTGGTTTTTCCAAAAATTTCCTCCCGCTCCTCGTCGGCGTGTGTCGTGGCTTCGACACCGGCGGCTCTGCCCAAAATACGTTGCAGAGCTGATTCATCGTCGCTTGAACTGTCGTTGGAGTCGATGAATTCAGAGCTCCTGTTAAAGAAAAAAGAATTTCCGTTTTGAATCATGTTCACCGATCGCTAGTGTACGAGGGCTGTCCCAGTTGGACGCGACCTCTAATATTTTCGGAGTACAGTATGTGTTACTGTAAGAAATAAAATATCATGGATCTGGGAAATTTACAAAAGACTCACTTGAAGGTCGTCGACTTTTTCACCGTCGCCTTCGCGGCTACAAACATGATGAAAATATAAAAATTACTTGAGAAACGTGGAGGTCATTGATTTTATACAGGAATACTTACATTTATTTTGCTTGGTCTTATCTGAAACTTTTCGCGCTTTGCGTTCTTGATACTTCTTTTCTCGTTCCATTCGTTTCAGCAACTTCTTTCTCTCTTTCAGGGTCGTCTTGTCCGTTGAAAAACCAAAACCTGTTGATTCATTCAAGATAAGAATTATGAATTCGTCAGCTTTCGTTTCAGAGGAAATAAAAAATAATTGGCCGAAACCTGTAGCGTAAGGAACGACTCGCGAACAGCTGTTGAACGAGACTCAAGCTATTCGTCGAAATTAAATCCGGGAAAGAAAAAAAAATACTGCCGGACGAACGATTAATTCGGTCAAAAATAACTTCGGAAAAGGTTCAACGGCTCTCACGAACGAAAAACCGACTATGCGACAACTCGGCTCCAATTTCAAGATTAACTTCACCATAAAAAAGTATGCATCAAAAGTTATCTAGATCAGGTTTTCTCAACCTTATCTTGCTTGACTTACTGAGCCCATTTCGCGATGAATACCATCAGTGAAGCTCCTGATGGAATCACAATGCTGCTTAGCCCGTTAGCGCAAAAAAATCGAATCGTCTGTCCCATTTATTTTGTACCGTTCTAAAAATGGAAGCATTCTGTATACCCTCGTGTTCATACAAAATTTTGCATTGCCCACACTGCAGTTTTCATGTATTCTTTACTAGCATCACCTTAGCATACTTACGATGTATAATAGTCAAACCTTTTCCAAGTGGAACTTCAAGGAACCAGAAAAAGAAAAAAATTCCAGTCAAATGGAAACAAGCTTTTTTGTTGGGAAAAAGAGAAGAGAATCACAAGAAATTTTAATTGGTGACATTCTGGGTCTTAAATGTTTTTTAAACGAGTTCACAGGATGCTGAACTTGAAGGCAAGGGTTCATTTGCCCGATTCATCTTACACTTCCTTTCACAGCACATCAACTGATATTTTTGGTCCTTTTGTCTTTCCTGCGTGAATAAAATCATAGTCAAAAGGCCTCCAGAAAATTCGAATTATGTAGGTCTGACGGGAAATCCTTCAAGTTGATAAGGTTTTTAATACATCGATTGTAAGGGCATTCAGACAGGGACTTAAAAAAAAAAAATTCGACTTGGGAAGGTTCGAGTTTTCGAGGTACAACTACATTTTCACTTTTCTTGTGCAGCAGCAGATTCCCTGAAAAGTGCATGACAAGGTCCTTAGGACTACGCACAACACAAGAAGAGAACCTACAATCTGGACTAGTCTAGACTCTCAGACTCATTCCAAGAATTTTTCGGGATTATGCAATGATTTGATCACCTTCTCCAAAGAACTTTGCATCCGGGACCAAGTCGAATCCGACGCCGTGCAAGCAACTCTTCTCCAAATACTCGGCACGCAAACGCAGAGCAGCTCCGCAATTTCTCGGGTTTTTCGGCGGCGAAAACAGGCGCCAGTAAGTTTCCTGTCCACCACGCGCAGGCGGCGAAAATCCGCAACGTTTCAGCAGATGATAAAATGCTCGGCCCACGACACCTTCTTGAGTATCGTCTTCGTTGAATTTGCTGGCTTCTTCCACGTATTCGCAGGCTGAGGCGTCGATGGGGACCAAAGCGATTCCTTCTGTGTCTGGGATGGCGTCATGCGCGGATTCATCCACGTCTTCTGCAGCACGGCGAAGATTTCTGCAAAAATCAATCATATAGGAGACGTTTGGGAACTCAAGATTCCTTTTTCAAAAGATTTGCACCAAATTCAATCGATAATTTAGGCTTCTCGCTTTCTAAAAGAAAGTTTCACAACGGAAACCGATGAGCCCGTAGAAATCGCTTTCGGAGGTGACAAAAATCCCCGGATTTCACACTATTCAACCACTTGTTTCAACCGACGTTTCACTTGTTTCAACCGATTAAAGGATAATGTAACTAAGGACTGCAGTTAGAAATTTTCAATACTGTAAATCAACATTCTTGTAAGTTGCAACGGATACTTCGACATCTCTAACCCTTTGAACTCGCTAATTTTTCCTTTCAATACATCACTTTGAAACGTCAATTGAGCGTATTTCTAAAAAGGAAACCTTCCGCACAATATCATAACAAACTCGATCATCCAGAAAAATACCAAGGATCAGGGGGTTCCGATTAAAATTTTCCTGAAAATTAGAAAACAATAACATTTTCTACTTCGCACGTTTTCTTCAAGCAAATATTTTTTTGCCTTCGAGACATGCATGAGTTTCTCCGAAGACTTGACACACGCGAGATATCAAGACTTGTCCATTGCAGTTACTTTTGTGACACCCCCACTTACAGTGGAATTCCACTGCCTTTGAAATTGATCTTCATTGAATTCAAATTCTGATTTCTAAGTGAAATATTAAATGCGAAAACGACTTCGCAACCTATAGCTTTCAGTGATAGGAGCGACAGCGCGCAGTTAGATACAGAAATTCTCATTTCACAATACTGTACAATATTCCTGAAAAATTCGTTAACATAAATTTTTACTTCCCACGTTTCCTCCAAGCAAATATTCTTTGCCTTCTACACATGCATGCGTTTATCCGTAAACTTGGAACACAGACGAATTCTCGTCTTTTCACTGGTTTCTTTTCAGAGTTCTGAAACCCCCTAATTACTGCTTTATTCCACTACCCTTGAAAGTGAATTTTATCGAATTAAAATTCTGATTTCTTAGTAAAATGTAAGCACAATTTTTGGCGACAGTGTAAAGTTGGACAAAGAAATTCTTACTTTGCCAGCCAAAGGAAAACACCTTTCGTGTCTTCGAGCGGCAACAGCTCTCGGATTCGTTGAAGAACATCGGCGGCCATCGCGTCGACTGCCGCATTTCCTGCGCCGACATTATTATCTTCTTCCACTTCCGGTTCAGGCTCTTCAATTATAAATAAAAACGTTAATACCTCACTAAACTTCCGCTTTAAGAACGTGGAATTCACCATTAGATGAACCATCAGTTTCGTCACCGGTATCAGAATCACTGTCTTCTGGCTCGTTTTTGCCTTTCTTTCGACCTCCTTTTCGCAACTCGGATTTGTCGTGGATTAAACCGAACTCGAGCAGCTTGTCCGCAATGCGATTCTTGGGTCGCTTCAATGTCATCAAATCGAACAATCTTCCAAGCGGATCTGAAAACAGGAGATTATAACGAAATTATTTTCCAGTTCACTATTTTCTCTTTACGAGAGATTGGACAAGAGATCGAAGTTACCACACGATTCATCAATGATGAGTACAAATACTTCTTGAGGGCTCTAAACCTTGCGAAGAAATTGCTGTTCCTCACATCGATAAAAAAATTTGTATTATCCCACACTCCAAATTCAATTTTATTGATTCTTTTTTCACGATCTTAAATTCTCTGCATGAACGCTTTGATAGTTGAATTTTCGCGGAATTCGTCGTATTTGATGAGATGAGGAATACAAACCGTAAGCGTCTTTACAAGTCAGCCAATTTCTTCGAAGTTCGTCTTCATCTTCTTCTTTCCATGGAACATTCTTGAGACTTTTTGCACGATTCGAACCCTAGAAAAGTAGAAAAAGTTTGTGAAAGGTTCTTCGTAATTTGCGGGAAATTTGTTACGGAAACCTTTGCTGGCTCCATGAGTCCCATTTCTCGTAGCTTCTTCACAATCATTCGCTTCGATTTCTGACGATCGATCAGGTTTTCCATGATGAGATCAGCGACATCCTTGCCTATTATTTCAAGATATAAAACGAGAATATAAAAAAAATGAAGATAGGAATTATGAAGAATTCTGAGATGAGGTCAAGATTGTTAGGTGTTGGGTTTTCGGTGAAGGCTGTAATTTATGAGACAAGTTCGTTGACCTCGGTTTCCTTATTGAAATCAGAGTGAGCAGCGAAACATTCAATACTGAGGTAAAGATCTTCAACCACAGAGTGCCACTTAATCCTTATAAGATCATACCTGGAACCTGAGATCCTTTGAATTCATTGAAAAGTCGTTCCAGTTCGAATTCTTGCTCTTCTGTCCATGTTCCTTTGTTTGTTGACCTGCGAAGAAAATGTTATTGCACAATAGATGATTTCATATCTTCTTCAAAACTGAACTTAGGTATACAATTAGCGCATGTGTTATTTTTCGATGAAAATCACGCGTAAAAGTGAGATTACGAGTGAATTTTTCCAAGTTTTGAAGACGGAAGCCGTGACTACGAGTACAGATCAACAACAAACACACATTTCTACTCAGAAGTTAGCGAATTATACTAACGTAATCCAAAGGCTACAGTCTAAAATCAAGTTAAGAACAATCGAAGAATTCAACATACTTGGCTTGATAAGAACCGTATCCAACACTGATCTCCACGGCATCCCGTTGAGTTTTCCAGAACAAGAGCTCGACGAATACCAAAGGCTTTTCTTTCGCCATTTTCGAAAATTGCCGCCATAAGTGGGTCCCAAAAATTGCCAATTCCTTTAGCAAAAAAAATGTCAATACCAGACGCACAGAATAGCAAAACACGCTATTTCTTCCTCACTTTTAGCGCAGGTGTGCATGAAACAGCGGGATCATGCATGATTCTTTGAAACGTACAAAATAAGCTAGCTTGGAACAGAACTGGTGCAAGTCCGCTGTCAAACGCCAGGCGATGAAACATCTTAACGATGCAATGATTCGTGTGGGCGGAATTCTGCTCGTACGACTTCAGAAGAAATGAATAGTTTTCGACCACCTTCGCATTCGCATATCTGAATGAAAAGAAACATGAAAATGTAAATGGAATACGAATTTGAAGAGGCATTTCATGGTTAAAACTGCCTCGACTTTTTTTCTTTCTTTCATTTTTCACACGATAGCCGAGGCAATTCAGGCTAACCTAAAAAAGGAGCCACTGATTCATGGAAATAACCAATAGAACCTGGGATGAAGCAAAAAAAAAAATTTTCACTCGAAGAACATTGATTTTAGAAAATTAAACCCAAACTACAGGAGGACCCCGACAGACGGATGATTCAACCAAGGGAAACTTAGAAGCAACAAATATTTCCCTACACCTGGAGAACGTCTGAAGATACGGACACCCAATATTTCTAAAAAAGGGAAACATTCAATTTCTCAAAATTTTGATACTTCTTGAACAAATTTACCTACTTGATACTCCGAAAATTCAGAATAAATTTTATTTTAAATTCTCTAAAATTTCTAATCAGACCAGGCTAATTTGATGCTTCTTCTTTCCCAAATTGCTTCCATCAGCTATGCACGGTGTAGCAAGACTTGTTCTTGTTCTTCGCGCTTCTTTTGATGCTAGCTCTGATTTTGCTTAGTTTTCTTCTGTTCAGTTCTTTTCTGTATCTTGGAGTTGAGAAAAAAATATTATTTTTCTTGGAGAACGTCTTCTTAATTTTCGATCAGCTGGAGAACCAATGGAATAAGTTCCCATTCAAGCCTACGGGAAAACGTAATACAACATAGGAACAAGGTCCAAACCATCACGTCCGATTCTCGGGGCCCCACCGTAGTTTACATCAAGTTGAGAACACCTATTCGATAATTCAGAATTTAATTACCTGACGACGAAGTCTTTGAACTCGAGTTCTTTTTCTACAACGCGTTCATTCATTTCCTCTTCTTCCTCACTGTCCTCGTCTTCTTTGTCGGACTCTTTGGCTTCTTCTTCTTCCGCTTGGGTACCGATGTTCGCAAAGAACATTTCCCGCAACAGACGCACTTCGTCGTCCGAAGTCATTTTGACTTCCGGAGGACCGAAAGTACCGTCAGTAATGAGAAGCCTGCTCATGAACGAAGCCGAAGATTAAGGAATCACACATTTTTGCAAAATGTGGAAAAATTCGCCAGTTTACCTCACTGAACGCAACGAGCTTAGCGCTTCCAAACATCCACCAGAATCCTTTCTCCGCAGGGCCGATTGCATTCTTTTAATCGCATCAGCTCTGCAACAAAATTCAATAGCGATGATATTTCAAAGCTCAGGCGTGCCGCAAAATTTGTCATTTTCTTACGAACGAAAACATGTTCTATATCATCACTCACTTTTTCTCTTCCTCTTCTGTCAAAAGCAAATCGAAAGGAATCACGTCTTCCAACTCGGATTCGGAAATGCCTTCGAACACTTGCGGGAAAATTCCGCTCAGGGTTCCCCATTCTTCTTCAAGGCGAGTTTGGCGGGATTCTGCAGTAATCACGAGTTTTAGAAAATCAAGGAAGAATCGTGGAATTCAAGCACACCAACCTTCCGTTTCCTTCTTCGTATCTCGCTTTTTCTTCTGTTTCTTAGATCGAATTTTCTTCTGAATTACAATTTTCGAATGTACTTTCGTGAAATCTTCCAGCAGTTTCAGGTACACATGGTTCGTCTCGACGAGATCTTTCAGGTAATCTCTTGAAGCAGAAACGATGAAAATTTTCACATGTTCAAATTAAATACACTGGTAACATACTACTGCAAGCTATTGAAGTAGACAAAAATCTTGAATTAAACTAGTCTGAATGGGCGGAAGAAAAACGCACGTGAGAAGTTCCGATCAGCGCTGTGCAAGATGATGTATCATTTGTAACTGCCTCGAAAATAATTTTTTTGTAACCAACTTTTCGAGTAGGAATCCTTAGAACTACTGTACTTTTGTTTCAATGATATTGCTCAAAATTCAACATCTCGAAGGCAACTTCGTATAGAGCACAACCGACACAAATCTGGGCGATGTCAACTTACTCATCAGAATATGACAGTCAAATCCGGGGAATTTTCACTTGAGCTTTCTGTATTATTAAATTCTCTAATAGCGGTCTTATTGCCTAAAAGTACAAATAACATGTCAGTTAATATGTGACCTATTATTTCTCAATACTGTAATATTATTCCTCGGTGATAGGGTTCACAGAAGTCTTTGCAGTCTCATTTCACCCTTGATGTGCAAAAATTTGAAAAAAGTTGGAAGATTATTCATAATTGACCAAAATAGACACAAATACAGTCAAACCTCTTCAAGTTCAAGGGACCAGCCAAAAAATTTGCGTCAGGAAGTTTCGAGTTGGGGAAAAATATATTTTTGTCGGGGGAAAGAGAGGAAAATTAGAGGAAATTGTAATTTGTGATATTCTAGGCCTCATATTGCATTTTAAATAGGTTGACAGGATCCTGAGCTTGGAGGCATGGGCTCATCTGCCCTATCAGTCTTTCACTTCCAACACATCAAGTTACATTTTTACAGCCATTCTCTTTCCTGTGACAATAAAATAGAAGGCCTCCAGAAAATTGGAGGAATGGAGGTTTGAGGAGAAAAGCCAGGGATTTCAGACAGGGACAGGAACAAAAATCGTCATAGGGACGTTTTCGACTTTCCGAGGTTCAACTGTGATGTACTCAATATGAATTCGTCTAGAAATATTCCAAATAAAAGGAAAATACACAGGAACAATGTAAAAATTCGAAATCAGCCGAAAAACAAAGATTCCTACATATACGTACACTGAAAACTTTGCCCGACTGAACCGGTGCAGATGAATCGGAAGCATGTCACGAAACTCTGGTTGATAGAAAATATTGCTCTTAAGGATCCTTGCAGCAGACTGCATTGTCTGATCTCGTTGGCACGACATCGAAACAATGTTCATGAGGAGCTCATGGTATGCCCTGAAGGCAATATGCAATCGCTTGGCCCACAGCCGCATTTTTCGCTTGTCAGTCATCATCATGTCTGAGTATCGATCGACTTGCATCTGAACGAAGGTGAAGATTGTCACGCTCAGCGTCTCACTGAAAAAAAAAAACGACGGAAAACATGGAATAATTACCTGAAAGCATACAGTCCGCCTGCAATTTTTTTTTTTAATTAAGAGATACAACTTATACGTCAACACATGAATTGCAAGAATATACAATACAGTTCAGGTGCAATGCAGATTCGTGATCTAACCGTCAGAAAAATTTGCCTTTTCTTGTCTCTGACAATAAGGGATTACTCATATAGAGCAATTGAAGTTCATTCAAATAATTCACATAATCTTGCAGCAGCACGACTAACGTAACTAATATTCCACAGTACCTTCATTTTAGCTACTAGCTAATTGGTGAACTTGCAATTGTCGTACTCGCTTTTCTGATGTCAGTCATAAGAATGCATTTGACATGGAATCAACGACACACGAAATGAAAAATGATTACATGCGGCGCTCTTGAGATGAACTTATGAAAAAATTATTCAAATGAATGGCACAAACCTTACGAGATCCACTTCGAACCTGTGGTGGCGATTAAACTCCATAAAAAACCTCAAGGACCATAAGTAGTAGCTTTCATCATTGGCTTGAGCTCTTCCAGCACTCAAATAATTCTGAAATTCACATGAAAAAATCAGTTTCAGGCTTACCTCATTGCAATAAAATTAAATCGAAGAGAAATTTGAGACTGGAGAAGATGGGATAATTTGGAGAAAGAGGAAAATATTCCTTCAACATCCGGGCAATCGGAAACGTTTGGCGTTTGACACAGAAATGGGTCATAAGTATGGTATTATCACGGAGGATACAAGTTCAACTCATATGTAAATATGCTTTTTATATCATCTGTCTCAAGAAATGCTTCAAGATTTATCAGACGCGCATGAAGAGTCCAACCAATAGAAGGACCAAACTATTTGAATTTCTCTCCCACACACTGGATACTAGTTCTTTACAAGAGGATGAAAGAAGTTTGCCATCATCTTCAATTTAATCCAATGAAACTTCTTCTTTCCAATGAAGAAGTTTCGTCACACGTTCATAACTCTTCCTAAAAAATATTCCCGTTTTTGTGGTCAAATAGCGCTTGATTGGCCCTCTTCATCGACTTATTTCTACGCACCTTCACAATAGACATGATTTTATTGTAGGCTCCATGAAGAAACTCCAGGGCGAATTCTTTCAGGAAAACAAGCACAGGCAAGGCAGACCTTCTTCGCTGAGATGGCTCCTTCTCACGCGGAACAAACTTGTTCTTCGGTATTCGCCTTTTTTGCTGAAATAGAGGAAACGCGGTGTGGAACTCAAATCACTACATTCAAACTTTGCAAGCAAATTAGAGGCATCCAAACCTTCAAGCGATCAAAAGTTATTTGACTGGGAGCTTGAAACGGTTTGTGCGTAATAACTTCGTTTGTTCCAACACCCTTCATTCCTTTGACATGATAGCTTCCCTTCAAATTTCTAAAATAAATTTAAAAGGTGAGCACAAAATGACAAAACACAAATGCGCCATCAGTATACATCTCACCTTCCAAGAGCCTTTCGCAAAGCTGCCTGACGTTGCGCTTGCTCCCTTTCACGAGCAGCAAGTAGTTCAATTTCGTCTCTATCTTTGGCTAAGTCAGAACGAGTGCCTGCATCCGAAGAACCACATTTTGCCAACTCCATGGGATCCTGATCTCGCATCATCAGAGAAATTATTTCCAACACATGAAGCGAAAGCTCTCGTTCATCATCCGCCGACGCCAAGTACATCAGGATGGCATCCAAGTCTGATTTCCTCATTGCGAATATAACCTTCAAGCATGTCACAAATCAAAAAAGTTGCACTTGGTATTATAATTTATCAGTGAACATGCTTCACGCCTATTGTACCTGGTCATGAACAGAAGCATCATCATCAACCCGATGCTCTTCCGCGGGATCAGCAGGAATATGCAGAACATTCCGCAACAGTATCAAAGTCCGTTCGATGAAGAGTCGTTGTTCTTCACTGCGTTCTCGTGCTTCCTGCAAAGTAGAGAAAATCTAGTAAGCTGCCAAGCTGAAATATCGATCTCGACATGAACTCACCGTCTCAATAACTTTCTGTAGCATTAATCGAAGTACTTCCCAGAAACGTGGATCATTGAAATATTCTTTCGTTGTTTGCAGCAATGACACGAGTTCTAAATAGAAATGCCTACCATACACGTCACCAGGCAGTTCCTCCTCGTACACCAACAAAGGAGGGTTGGTCAAATTCATGAGAAGTCGGATTACCAGCCCAGACAGCTCCTTATCGCTCGAATGATATTTGAGCAACGGGATCAGATCGGTTTGAATCAGGCGCGAACTCAGGATTTCTCGTCTGAGCGTCCGAAAATCATCATCCCGTCTCAGACACCGGACGATGTCCCGAACAGATTCTGCGTTAACAGTCAGAGAAGTTAGAAACCTTTGGCAATGCTCAATAATCGAGTTTTATCTCACCGGTGCAGTCCGGTTCTCGGTAGTATCCCTCCTCTTCATCCAAAAACCCCAAAGAGAACGATGCAGCTTGTAGATCAAGGGATAGCTTGTTTATTTCCACATTATCGTGTCGAGGTTCATTTACCACCGGATTGGACATGACCGAATTCACTGAGTACTTCACAAGTACACATAACACTGCAACTAGGCAAGACTGAAATTACAACGTGCGTTTCCCGCGCGCGCCTGAGATGAACGCGGAGAAACGAACCATGCATCAGCAACGGAATACTATGTGGGACCAATGAACGTCGCGTGCAATGTAAATCTTACCGAATACTGAACAGTAAAGTAATTGGTGCTTTTCCAAATCTTTTTTCAAATATTGTACAGTTACTACAGTAATAAGAATTTAGACTTCCAAATAATTTCTCACGGAATTGAAGAAATCCAGTATTCCTCAACACCATATACAGTACAATAAATCCTATACCATTCTTTGGTAAGAGGGATATTTGATGAACATTGGAGTGTGTCCGCCAAGAACGTTCCGTGTGCCGCTCTTAGCGACATCTATATGGACATCCAGTAGTTTTGCCCTTGCCTCCCCGAAGTGGGAAAGCTCCATACTGATACCAGTACAGTATCTTTCATCCGTCCCCAAATCCTCCTTGGTTGTTCGTAGAACAATCACAATTTCTGTACATGATTTCTTACGAATAGCTTATTTGAAGTTGTATAGTCCAAAAAATTGATCTGTAATTAAAAAATTAAATATTTGGGCAGGCGATAACATTGTGACTTTTTCATCGGTTCTCAAATCGTTTTGAGCAATTTTAAATGAAATAACGCTTGAAATTCAGCGATTATTATTTTCATGAATATTTTACTTTGAATTTGATCTTAAAATGACTTCTGTGACCGTTTCATGCGATAATATTGCTCATCATTAATGTAAATCGAAAAATGCAGACCAGCTTTGATGGATGGATGGGAAATTGCTTAAACGTTGTCAAATTTCCCTAAATTACTGATGGTCCCGCAACTTTGCTGTGAGCTGAGAAAATTGCTCAACGGCTTCTTTAGTTTCCATCGGAGCAATTTTCGAAACGCAGGCGTTTTTCACGAAGTTCTAATTTAAACTTGATGCGTGTCTTCCTACTTTACTCGGCTTTTCCGTTGCCTGTTATATGAAGGGGAAAAAATCAGTCGACGGTGAGAATTCCTGAAGAATTATGAGAGTTTTGTGTTATCTGCTTCTTTTGCCCTATGGCATTGCGATTGCTGCTTTTAGTGACATCATGAGCAGCTCCAGAACTTCAGATCAGTTATTGAAGGCATTTACTGGTTTGTTGCTGCAGCTTTCCAAAGTATGCCATTTGGAGCTGAGAATTGATGCTCGATGTCCAGAGATCGACGTCATCAACAAAGCCATCAGGAGGCATGTGCAAGAATACTTTTTTTAATTCTTAATCTGTGAGAGAAAAAATACGGTATTTCATGATTGTTATAATTTTAGAATATCTACAGTAAACAAAAAGCACAGTTGAATCTCGTTAAAAGGAATCTTTTTATAACAAATATTCAATTACAATTTACAAGGAAGTTGTTTTTGAGGCCATGTTTAATAGCCATAATATGTTAAAGCAGTTATTTTACAGTACAGTATAATGAATATTCTGTGTTAACAAAGCTATTTTACTGGTCCCAATAATGTCTTTGCTGTAAAAATATTTTACTGCATGCAGTATACTGTAGCTGTATCCTGACTTTGCTGCTCAAGGGTTAAGAGAGGCCAGTGTCTGCCTTCAATTTTTAGAAAGGGTCTATAAGGAGATGGGATTCATTGGAAGAACTTCCTTGTCCCATTTCCATACACTTATGCTGGGTGTATTCCTATTAAAAGGTAATGAAGTAAAGCTATCAAAGCTTTTTTGTGTAGCTGAACCTTGATAACTCAAACTTTTGTGAGTCAAACACATAAGTAAGCTGATTTTCTCAAATACTGAGGATCAATGCATTATAAACCTCTCTATAACTTGAAAATGTATCCCCTCAAAGAAGTCTACAGCTAAAAGCTTTTGGAAGTCATTTTGCCTTTTTTCAGATGAAGTAAAGAGGAAAGCAATGGAAATGTAACTTGATGTGTTGGAAGTGAAAGACTGATAGGGCAGATGAGCCCATGCCTCCAAGCTCAGGATCCTGTCAACCTATTTAAAATGCAATATGAGGCCTAGAATATCACAAATTAAAAATCCACCAAACAGACTTATTTTGGTTTAAAAATAGTGTTGAAAATTGAAATTTTCAATTTTTTATGTAATTGAATTTGTGTAATGGAATTTTTGTCTAACAGACTTGTCCCTTGCACGAATCAAGTCCGTTAGATGGGGGTTGACTGTACTTTTGTTAAGAAGTTGAAGACTTATTGGGCAAATGAACATTTCCCTCCAACTTCAGAATCCTGACAACTGCTTTACAAAGCAGTTTTGGGCCAGATAGGTCAATAATCTTGACTTTGTATTATAATCATTTTTTAGACAAAACAGCAGTTTCCTCAAGTCAATATAACTTCATAAGTCAAAATTTATTTTGCTGGTCCCTTATTGGAATCTGACTTGGCAAGGTCCTCTGTAATTTCTTTTGATTCTCTTCACATGGGGAATTACATTGTTTTACAAGTTTTACCAGTCATTAGTTTGATTATTTGCTGTTTTCACTTTGGTTCACTCCAGTCCAGTCATATTCTCATATATGAGAATTAGCACAAGCAAATTTTGTGTGTGCAAGACACAAAGCAGTTTTGTGCCTTTTGCAGTAAGCATTATATCACATCTCTTAGTCCAGTTCAAGAATGCATTTGATTATAAATAAGGCAATGTTGATTGCAATGAAGATTCAGAAAAAAATTGAAATGTTACTTTATGATACTTTTTGTCCCTTCTTAATTTGAAAACAGGGCTCAGATGGAGAAGTTAGACACCTTCACAGTTGTTGAAGAGAAACTAAACCTTGTGACCCACACATGGGAGTCCTGCTCTGATGAGTTCTTTGCCAACTATTCAAATCCAGGGGATAAAGGAAACCAGTACCCAGTGTTTTATCCAGGAGGATCCATTTCTGGAGACTACAAGTGTAGGAATCGGGTGTATTTCTTGGATGAACAATGGATTGAACCTTTGGGACGTTGTGGACGAGAATTCTGGGATGAAAGCACAGTCAAGGTTTGTATCATAGGGTATTCCATCATAATGGAGAAAGAAAAAATTAGCACCAATACTGATCCTGGTTTCAACAAAAATGTGATCTTGCCTTGATTATCAGCATGCTATTTACATTTTTTGAAAGATATCAGCATAACAGCAAAATATTTTTCCAGTTGAAATTTCATTATATTTGAGGCTCTTGTTGGAGTATAGGTTTAATTTAATGGTTGGCACTAAATTGAGGGCTAACTGTATTAGTGTTCATTGTAAACAGAGTCTATCTCTATAAGTGTATCCCAGTAAGACATTTCATTCAGATTTCAGACACAATGTACAGTCATCTACAGTCTGAGAATTTTAATAGATAATATTAAGCTGTAACTTGTTCAGGTGTGTTCCATTTTTATGATATACAGTACCACATGCTTCATAATTCAGGTATTGGTCATGATTTGAATAATACCCTTTGAAATGTCCTTTAAACCCAGGTTGGATCTTTATAAAACTTATCCTGAAGATACAGTATAAGGAATTTTTAAATTGATGCCTTGAATTATTGGAAATGTCATTTCTTGGACATTTGAAGTGATGGCACTAAAATGAGGGTTGATCAAATTTTCATGTAAAAATAAATTTTACCAAACCATACATGGTTCTAAAATTGGAAGCAAGAGACTGCTGCTACAGTAATACTGATACCTATATACCAACCTTGCTTGATCAGATCATTTGCAAATGCAACCCCAGAATATGTTTCAATAACAATGACATTTTCACCATGAAAATGCAATGCTGTTTACATTGAATTATACTGTACAATTTCATAAAAAGAAACAGAGTTGCATCTGAAACAAACAAGAAGAAAGTGTAGATTTTGAGTAAAATGAATCAACTTGGGAATCAGTCATTATTATTTGGACAGATACCTCTTAGAGAGGGCTTTTCAAAATATCTTTTATTCTTATTAGTATATAAATCAACACAATACAATTAGAACAAATTTGGTGCAGTGGGGTTTGGAGGCAAATACAATCAGCAAAGACACACACACAAACACATCAGCAGAATCCTATATTATGAAATCCTTCCCCACCAAGAGCTAGCTTCAGAATGCCTTTTAAATTTTCTTCCTGAGTCCAAGCTCCAGCAACTGTCTTAATATGCAAGCCTTCCTCCTTACCACTGGTTTGCCTTGGATGAGGCAGAGCAGTTTTGTAGCAGGAATTTCCTACTGTGTCATGCACTGCTGCATGCATTTGGTTTGAGCACTGAGCTATTATTTCTTTGGTTGCCTGGTGCCATCTATTGGTGACCCAACAGATATAACACCTATTTCTGTATACTGTATCAGCAAAAAAGTTTGTAGGTACAAAATGTGAAACTGCACAAAATATTGCAGACATTTCATGGATGTTATACACAGAGTAGTGCAGCTGTGGTGGAATAATTAGAGAACTTATAAAACCAATATGATGTCATGAGTGTTGAATCATCTCAAGCAATCTAGAATATTCATATCAGACTGTCATTAGATGGCAGTCCATGTTAATTGCATTCTCCAGATTTCCACCTGTGCCTTTCAGCAAATCAGGTGCAGTGGCATGGATTCCTGGGAGAGAGTGAGAGAGAGAGATAATCAGGGAGGAGAATTCTGAGACAGTCTGGCACCAAAATTCAAGACATTAGCATTGATCTCTGATTCTCTGTGAATTACCTGTGTTCTCTGAAAACCAATTTACCTTTTGGGGAAAAAGTGAAATACATATTTACTATTATATTTGGGATTTCCTAAAGAAATCCTCAGCTGAGCCCAACAGCTGAATGATTGTTTTCTTTTCAGAATTGATCATTTTTTGCTTCCTTTTGCAATTCTTGATTACAGCAACCATACATTGCAATATGTGCTATGTTATTAGATTCACTTTTAATTCATTAATGATCCATTGTTAAATTAAATTCACCAAACTGACACAGGAACCAATATTAAGTGGCATCACAGTTCTTCACAGTGCTGTAATGTCTGGTACATCATTTTTGGTGCAAGCTCTTGTCTTCTGTTCAGCATACCATGTGTCAGGGGCTAAATAGCCTCACTGGCAAAGCTTGATTTCAATAAATCAAATAAAGTGGTAAACACAATCGGCCTTTGGGGGCCTGAGGTCAATACCTCAATCTTCTTTTTTATGTCAGTCAGGTCTTCCAATAAAATATGTGTGCACACAAAAATATCTTGGAGCTCCTTCCTCTGTGAAGTTTCAACTGCTAGTGNAGAAACAAAAATATTTTTTGCAATACAGTAATAGAAAGTTCAATGATTATTTTCACATTCTAAAATGCACTTGAGGAGATGTAACTACAGTATAAAAAATGGCACAGAAAAATCTGGCATTAAATAATTTACGAAGTTTGTCCAATAAAACCTGGGAAAAAAATACAATGCTGTTGGATTAGTTTTTGCACAACGGCCAAACTTGTTCAGGTGTGTTCCATTGTTATGATATACAGTACCACATGCTTCATAATTCAGGTATTGGTCATGATTTGAATAATACCTTTTAAAATGTCCTTTGAACCCAGATTGGATCTTTATAAAACTTACCCTGAAGATACAGTACAAGGAATTTTTAAATTGATGCCTTGAATTATTGGAAATGTGACATTTCTTGGACATTTGAAGTGATGGCACTAAAATGAGGGTTGATCAAATTTTCATGTAAAAATAAATTTTACCAAACCATACATGGCTCTAAAATTGGAAGCAAGAGACTGCTGATACAGTAATACTGATACCTGTATACCAACCTTGCATAATCAGATCATTTGCAAATGCAACCCCAGAATATGTTTCAATAACAATGACATTTTTGCCATGAAAATGCAATGCTGTTTACATAGAATCATACTGTACAATTTCATAAAAAGAAACAGGGTTGCATCTGAAAGAAACAAGAAAAAAGGGTAGATTTTGGGTTAAATGAATCACCATGGGAATCAGTCATTGTTTGGACAGATACCTCTTAGAGAGGGCTCTTCAAAATATCTTTTATTCTTATTAGCATATAAATCAACACAATACCATTAGAACAAATTTGGTGCAGTGGGGTTTGGAGACAAATACAATCAGCAAAGACACACAGCACACAAGCACATCAACAGAATCCTAAATTATGAAATCCTTCCCCACCAAGAGCTAGCTTCAGAATGCCTTTTAATTTTTCTTCCTGAGCCAAAGCTCCAGCAGCAACTGTCTTAATATACAAGCCTTCCTCCTTACCACTGGTTTGCCTTGGATGAGGCAGATCAGTTTTGTATCAGGAATTTCCTACTGTATCATGCACTGATGCATGCATTTGGTTTGAGCACTGGGCTATTGTTTCTTTGGTTGCCTGGTGCCATCTATATATTGGTGACCCAACAGATAGAACACCTATTTCTGTATACTGTATCAGCAAAAAAGTTTGTAGGTACAAAATGTGAAACTGCACAAAAGATTGCAGACATTTTATGGATGTTATACACACAGTGGTGCAGCTGTGGTGGAATGATTAGAGAACTTATAAAACCAATATGATGTCATGCACGTTGAATCATCTCAAGCAATCTAGAATATTCATATCAGACTGTCATTAGATGGCAGTCCATGTTAATTGCATTCTCCAGATTTCCACCTGTGCCTTTCAGCAAATCAGGTGCACTGGCATGGATTCCTGGGAGAGAGTGAGAGAGAGATAATCAGGGAGGAGAATTCTGAGACAGTCTGGCACCAAAATTCAAGACATTAACATTGATCTCTGATTCTCTTTGAATTACCTGTGTTTTGTGAAAACCAATTTACCTTTTGGGGAAAAAGTGAAATACATTTCTTACTATTTTATTTTGGGATTTCCTAAAGAAATCCTCAGCTGAACCCCACAGCTGAATGATTGCTTTCTTTTCAGAATTGATCATTTTTTGCTTCCTTTTGCAATTCTTGATTACAGCAACCATACATTGCAATATGTGCTATGTTATTAGATTCACTTTTAATTCATTAATGATCCATTGTTAAATTTAATTGACCAAACTGACACAGGAACTAATATTAAGTGGCATCACAGTTCTTCACAGGGCTGTAATGTAAAGTACATCATTTTTGGTGCAAGCTCTTGTCTTCTGTTCAGCATGCAATGTATTGTGAAACTATATTTCAGGTTTTGCATTCATAAAATTAACTTGTTAAAGAATAATTCAAGTCTGCTGTTCCTAGAAAATGATCATCATAGGAATTAATTTTGGGTTTTTTCAATGCTTTTTTCATGCAGGTATTTTGGTGGGGACTAGGCAACATCAACCTGGCGTCCATTTTCTCCCTCATCAGCTTCAAGGGTTCACATCGGGGTTTATTCATGCTGAAATATCAAGATTTACATGAGTTGGATCACTTGAACCCTTGGCAATACCCACTTGAAGACAGTCTGAGGTCAGATGCATGAGTACAGTCATGTTTGCTGGTATATAAGTTGCATGTGTTGATTTGTTGACAATAACAAAGGTTTCAAGAAATACAGAAAATAATTCAAAGATTTAACTAAGTAATTAGGTGGCTGATGGCCTGATGGGTACCTCTTATTAATGGGGGGTGTTCAAACCTCTATTTAATATTTTCAGAATAACTTGAAGTGGAACAGAACAAATGCAGTGCAGCAGGGCAGGAATAATTTGACTATTCAAATCAGAAAGCATATGTACACACACACACTCAAATCTTCTTAGCAAGTAACCAGGAACACAAGATCCTCCCTCAACCAAAGCCTTGCTCAGAATGCCTCAAAAATTGTCCTCCTGAACCAAAGCACCAGCTGCCTTCTCATCTAGCCTTCCTCCTTACCACTGGTTTGCCTTTGGACTAGGCAAACTGGTTCTGTAGCAGGAATTTCCTACTACATCACACACTGCAGCTTTCATTTGGTTCAAGCACCAGTTAATTGTTTCTTTGGTTGCCTGGTGAGTGACAACCTGACAGCATGAATTACATTAGAAATACTGCATTATCAGATCACACATTTTTTAGAAAATAGAGAATGATTCTTTGATTGTATGAGTAGGCACAAAAGCAGTTTTGTGATGCAGGAAGACTTCCTGCCACAAAAAAATATGCATAAAATGATTCTATATGATGCCACTCATGCCCTAATTACCCTGCAGGTTTCTAGAAAAGGGCCATTTTGAGGGTGCAAAGGAAATTTATTGAAGCTACAGTATAATCTTGCTATAACAAATCTACTTGAAAGGAATAATCACTCACAACAAAGGGATTTCTAGGTCCCTGACAAGTAGACCCAATATTAAATGAGCTACCTTACTTCATGATGAAAGATTTTCATTACAGTACAGTATATAACAAAGCTATGTCACTGGTATCCCAATGGCTTGGTTGTAACAAGATTTTGCTGTATTTCGAATGCTTTGAATTATTATTATTTTTTATTGAAGCATAAGATTAAAAAAAATGTTCCCAAGAAATTCTCTGATGAGAAAATGTGACACAATATGCGAATGTTTCAACATTGGACGTAGTCGGACAAAATAATTACATCCGCGTCTTTTTGCTCCTCCGCATTAAGACGAGTTGACTAAATTTGGAGGGACCTTAATTATTGTGAATCCATCAGGCAAACGCTTGGAGAAAAAATAGATTTATAACCAATTTCTTTGACAGGGTTTTCATGGACTGTCTTTATTGCAACAAGGGGCAAAATTCCGTGAGGCTGGCTGGAAGTTTTGCGCCCAGCAATACAACCAACAGGTATTTCCCTTACACAATGCCGAAGCATATTCGCACTTCGTTGGCTGTTCCAGAAAGCAAGAAGCTGGCCATCAGTCGTTCAGGCTTTCCAGATTCTTTCCAGGTCAGAAAAAAATAACTCGGTTCAACTCTTGCCATCAGTTTTTGAGTTTTAATATAATTGTTGGTGCACGTATCAAAGATTCCACCTTTATGAGGGTTTCCCTCAAAAACAGAAAAATAATGTTTTTAAAAGATGTAATCGGAAATTTTACTGTTGGAAATATTACTTTGTAATTGGAAATTTTACTTTCAAGGAAAACATGATTTTAAATCGTCGTTTTTTCATGAAAAAAATGCGAATTTTCGCACAAGCTTTTTAAATTAATCTCTTTGCGTCACATTGAATGATTTCTCTGTCCTCATCTCATCGGAATCAACCGTGATAAGTAGAAATATATTTAGACTAAGCATTTTCAGGTAACAGTAACGTTTCTAATGCATTTTAGACCGCCTGGAAATTTTTAATGAGAATGAAGGGATTTTAAATCTTCGTTTTTACCGCGACAGAAGGTTGATAAATCAACGCAACTTTTTGAGTCAATATTTTTATATAACCTCAATTACTGTGTCGACGGAATAATTAATCCGCGATGACAAGTAAAAATAAATTCAGGTGAAAATTTTTCAGAGATCAATAGATAGTGTTCCAGAAATGCAGTCGGAATTTTTTTGGTAAAAGAATAACTTGTGGTCAAGTTTTGTGGTCAAGATTCATGGAAAACAGAAATTCAATTCTCTGTTTTCCGTGGTGAAAGGAGAATTTCTTCCTAGCTTTTTGAGTTGACCTTTTCATCTGAGATCAATCACTCCGTCCACAGAGGAATCGACAATTGGAATTCTATTCGTACGTAAATTTCTTGGGTTTTAAAAGTGTTAGAGGGGATTTAAGTTTGCATGCAAAACTGATCTTGAATCTTTGCTTTTCATCGCAGGAAAAGAGAAAATTTCCAACCAGCTTTGGAATCAATCTTCATGTCACATATTAAGTTGAATCGTTTCAGGCGATATAGTTTTTCAGGAAGCAATTATCGTCCTAAAATCTTAATCGGAAATGTTAGTGGTTTTTATAGAAAAAATGTGATCATTGTTTTTTTTCATGATAACAGGGGAAAATCCTCCCAGCTTTTTGAGTTTACCTTTTCATCTCACATTTATTCTGTCCACGAAATAATCGACTGTGACACAATATTTCGGATAATTCCGATACTTGAAAAAAAAAATTAAGGGCTTCTAAATTGTTTTCGAAGGTAGTATTGTTTCAAAGGAAATAATGTTTTAGATCTTTTCAAATCTTTTAATAGTTGCGAGGAAAATGTATTGCAAATCTTCGTTCTTCACAAGAAAAGGGGAATTTCCAATCAGCTTATTGAGTCAACCTTTTCCTGTTACAACATTCATTATATTTCAACGTAATCAAACCGTGTTGAAATCAATTCAGGTGATATAGTTCTTCAGGAAGGAATAATGACTAAAATCTGATCGGAAATTTTACTGGTTTTCATAGAAAAAATTTTATATATTTGTTTTCTCATGCTGATAGCTACAGGGGAATTTCTTCCCAGCTTTTTGTGTTTACTTTTTCATTTCACATTTATTTTATCTGCGAACTAATTGAGTGTGACACACTATTTCAGATGATTTAGATGTTTTTTTTCAAAGGAGCAATAATGGTTTCTAAAGTGTACTCGAAGGTAGTATTGTTCCGAAGAAAATGTATTTTAAATCTTTATTCTTCACAAGAAAAGGGGAATTTCCACCCAGCTTCTTAAGTCATCATTTTCCTGTCACAATTATTACTATAAATCAGCCTGTGTTGGAATTCAGATGTTGAAATTCAGATGACAGTATTCCAGGATGCAATAATTTTCCAAAAATCTAATAAGAAGTTTTTAAGCTTTGTTTCAACAATAAATCATTTTTAATCCTTATTCTTTATAATAAAAGGGTGATTCATTCCAAGCTTCTTGAATTTACATTTTCATCATCATCTCAAGTCAATTATGGAGCTCTTTCCATGGTAGATGAATCTACAGTGACAAGGATAAATTAATTTAGACTAATGTTGCCCAACCTGTGGTCCACAGACCAGTGCCAGTCTGCAGAAATTTTTTTGCTGGTCCATGAAAACTTTTAGCCAAATAAATGTGTCAGAAGTAGCAATGAAGTCTGTTATCTTCAACTGAAACATTGGACAGACAATGACACTTGAAATCATCTCATGAAAAATAAAAGTTGGCTTTTCTCCTCACAAAATTTCAAACAAATTTGCATGTGCCTAAATGAATTATTTTTATTTTTCTCTCTGAGAAACCTTTCTTTGAGCCCACCTTTCTAATTTTTTGATGACTTTCAGCTATGGGTGGTACCTTGCAATTTGACCTCCCACAATTTTACAGTCAAATTTGCAGGGAGACTGACTTGCAATTCAACCCTTGCCCTGCAAGTTGGCCTGCGTGGGCAATTTTTTATTGCGTTTTTGTACTTATATTTTTGAATTTCATGGAATGTCTCACAATTAAACCCCAGTTTGGCAACAGATTAGGATTGCATTGTGAGGTACCACCAGTAGAGCTGCTTCATTGCAAAAAAAAACCACACAGAAACCTTTATCAAATACCCATCATTCAGTATTTCAAGCATTGAATCTGCAAAGATTTTAAGAAACTTTGTGCAGTCTGCAGAAAACTTTTTGGAAATTGTCCAGCCTACCAAAAAATGTATGAAAGTTTGCTGGTCCATGGGCACAAAAAGGTTGGGGAACACTGATTTAGACAACAAAATTCCAGAGAGTCCGCATGTTTTTGAGGATTTATCGGGGATTCAAATTTCCAAGGAAAATTTGTTTAATTCTTTTTTTATTTTCCTGAGAAAAGGGGAATTTCCAAGGAGCCAAGATGCTGGTGGCAACGAAAAACTCTCCGATCCACACGCCGTTCTCCGGAATTCGAAAGGGCACTTTGAACGAGCCCGTAATCTCCGGGGTTTGCAGCGAATTGCTGAAATTGTTCCAGTCTCGTCTCAATTTCACCTACGAAGTCTTCGTGCCTGCCCTGGACCAACAAGAAGACTCTGACGACGAAATCAGCAACCTGTCACCCATCATCGACGCCGCCCTGGGCACGGATTTCGACATCATTCTGGCGCCCGTGGTGGCGACCAAGGAGAACAGACGAAGAGTCAAAATCACGGCGCCGTATTACATAGACGACTTTGTTATGATTGTCAACATGCAACAAGAGTAGTGAGTTTATACTTAGCCAACGTGTTCAATCCATCCTCTAATGATGATCAAATTGTGTCTTTTTTTTTTGGTTATGTAAAAACAGTTTTTCCTTGTTGCCGGGATATATAAGGAGCAATCCCAAATCATTTTCGACGAAAAAATTCTATTGATTGATTGATTGATAAATAAGTTTTATTTTCCACTTTTAAGCATTCACAAGGTTCAAACAATGTTTCCCACATCTAAGCCCCCTCTCTTCCTAGCCCACATCCATTCAAATACAGTGAGACCTCCACATGTGGACGCTTTGACATTTGGACAATTTAACATAGGGACATTTATTTTCCCAGAAAAAATCAATAAATAAGGCCCAACATGAGGACACTGACTCAACATTGGGACATTTTTTGATAAAATTGCAAATACATTTCAGGCCAAATTACAAGAAACATATATTTCCAACCCTAAAATTGATGTATAGCTAATTAAAAAAAATTACCTCCAGCATAGATGGACTTCAACTTTTTTTTCACTTGGATGGTATTTTAGTTGATCCCAAAATTTCAGTGTGCAGTACAGAGATACACTATTCAATGCTCCAAATGTACAGAGGATTCTGAAGAATATTTCTTCCAAAAAACACCCATTAAAACTTATATAATGTAAGTCTATGGGAAAACAAGACTCAACTTAAGGACATTCTGACTTGGGGACAATCTTGATGCACCGATTACGTCTGCATCTTGGGGTCTCACTGTACATTCTATCATATCAGGAAGGAAAATTGAGAACACAATGATGTTTTTACTTGGGCAGAAAAGTCTTTTTTTATTTGCATATTGTATCCATGATTTTAGAAACAATGCCTTAGCTTTTTCTGGAACAGCCTCATGAAACAGTACCCAAAATGTGTCCCATTTTAATCTTGCTAATAACTTGAGTTTCCCTAAGTCAAAAACATCTTAATGTTGAAATGTTGTGCAGTCCATGCCTGAATCCCTTCCAGAACAATTTTCATGTATAGACCTCCAACAGAACTTGAAGGCTTTTCCCCTTAAACTTGTCTAACTTACATTGTGGAGGCCTTGATGCTTTTCTAAAGGAAGTGAACAGTTGATTTGAAAAAAAAACTGGAACAATGTCACCAAGTTCAGCATACTGACAATAAATTTACCCAGCAGTTTAAGGCCCAGAAAGTCACAAATCATCTCCGCCTTTTCTCTATAATGTTCTATTGTTCTCCCCAGGAAAATTAATCATTTTCCTAACTCAGAAACTCCCAAGATAAGTTTTTTATGGGTACCTCATCTGAGTTTGACATGAAAAGATTCAACTGAACAGTGAGTCCCAATCCCAATACAGAAAAATATCTGCATAATGAGAAATAAGAAAAAAATGTTACTTAGCATAAAAAAGTTGTGGCCGAAAAAATACCCAAATTTCAACAAGTTTAGAAATGAATTTTGAAGCAGTTTCTCAAAAATCAACTGAAAACAAAAGCATATAGGTTCAAATTTTCTTGACTCTAAACAAGTAATGAATTGAGAAAGTTATCAGCAAGAGTTGTGAGGATTTCTTCAATTGCATGCTAAAAAATATTCAATCCACAATTTTCTGCTGAATAATATACAAATTTGATTTTTCCTGCAGTCTTTCAGAAAGCAGCATTATTTAACCAATTAAATATATTTCAAAGCAATCTAAGAGAAAATGCATTTCATGTGAAGAAAATTTTGCATGACAAACCTCATCCATTGAGAACAGATTATAGCTTCATTTTCTGGGGACTCACTGTATATGGCAATTTGCCAAGTGGCTCTGGATTAAAAAAAAAAAAGAATTCCCATGCATTTGATCATGCTATTCACTTTCAACATTTTCAAAATTTGGAAATGTAAATTCCCTGTTCCAGTTCCCTCATGTGGACATATGTGCAAGTGCTGCCCATAGATGTGAGGATCCTGCTGTTGACAAGCTTCCTTGCCACATTCCTCCTTATGCTCCTGCTGGATTCAAAGCAGATCCAACTGCGAATCTATGGATCCTTTGCCAAGCCCAAAGAACCCAGATGGCTTTACATGATGAGGCTGGTGTGTCTCCAGGGTCCCCCAGAGACCCACATGCCAGTGAAGNATGCTCCTGCTGGATTCAAAGCAGATCCAACTGCGAATCTATGGATCCTTTGCCAAGCCCAAAGAACCCAGATGGCTTTACATGATGAGGCTGGTGTGTCTCCAGGGTCCCCCAGAGACCCACATGCCAGTGAAGACCTTGGAAAGATGTGCACAGCTTGTCACCTGGACAGGGTTCTTCTTTTTTGGGCTGTTGTACCAGAGTGCACTGGAATCCAACTTTTTTGTGCCTGCGTATCCTGAACCCATTAATTCCCTGGACAGTTTCCGGAAGGAAGGATTGAAATTGCTGATTTCCAGACGAGGTGGAGATGGAGATGCCCTACTTACGCATATCCCTTACTTTGTGCAGAATAGGGTCTATGCCTCAGAAGCATTTCCAGGTAAGACAAATAATTAAAGAATCACCACATGCAGTGCAATTGTCATGAATACAGAGCAGTTAATTGGTCAAATACCATACTGCCACTAAGTTGCTGCAAAATTTCTCCAGAAAAAGAATTCTCAAGAAAAGAAAAAGGATTTTCAGAATACCATTCTCTCACATAACTCACTTTTGCAAAAATACTTGAATTTTAGCAATAAGTTTTGAGCTAAATCTTTGGAATTTTAGAAAACGAATTGAGGGTATGACAAAAAGGTAATTTAATTTCTTTATTCTTGTCTATAAAAATTCTACATAAATACTTTTTGAAAAAATTTACATATATTAACAATGTTTGTCTAAAGCTTAAAAATATCTAAAGCTTGAAAACCTGAGCACGGTTCATCACCAAAACATGCCGAAACCCACCTTACGTTTAGACACTGCGAATCCGAAAAAAATCGTTTCATCATATTCAAATACTGACTCGAGACATGGAATGGAAAGATATGATTCTTCCACAATACGGCAAATTTAGAGTAAGATCCATGTGAAGGATCAAGGACTCGTACACTACGGGTCCAGCGAGATGAATGATGACTCCACGCGACATCTAGTCAATCTTGTAAAAGCCCTCCAACTCTGATCGTGCAATTTGAACCCCTCATGACGCTCTCTTCAATTCTCCCCCTATCCTTGTTCCGATACAGTACCGTACTGTACTGCATTATATTCCAGGTATGACTCGCCAAGCCGTATTGCAAACACGCAAACACCAGTTCGGCATGATCCGACCCAGAAACGAACTAGTACTGCGTCTACGAGACATGCTCAGGTGCAACATGAAGGACTACCCGTTACACGTCGTCAAAGAGAACGTGCAACAATTCACAGCCAGTCTCGGGTTCCAAAAGGCGAGCAAACTGCTCCCGATCATCGATCAAATGATCTTGGAAGCTGACGCAGCCGGGATGCTCAAGTATTGGACCAACACTGCGGTTCTCGGTCACTACGAACTCGAAGATGTGCTGAGCAACAACCTGGACGACAGCTCGTACATGTCCGCGAAGACCACGGCTTTCACAAACCCCAACGTTCAGCTGAAGCCCATCACTTTGGCGCACTTGGAGTCGGCGTTTTTGCTTTACTTCGTGGGTTGCCTGGTTTCCCTGTTGACGTTTTTGTACGAGAGACGCAGCAGCGCGTAAACTTGGGATTCTTCGTACAGAGGACGCCACGCATGGGGATATACTGTATCTTGGAAAACAATTGAAACGGAAACAAAATTTGGTAGTTATTCAAGCTGGTGGAGGAGATGAAAATGCTCCATAAAATAATTGGTTCTTTTCATTTTGGCGTGGGCGCCTTTTTTAATGAACATTGGAAATTATAGGTCTTGAAAAATCTTTTGTTATGCAGAACCATTCATCTTTGAAAAAAAAAAAAATGCTTCGCAGGTCGCATCAGAACACAAAACATAAAACACAGATGCTAATGATCTCTTTGTAAAATACTTTTTGGATTAAGTATGCACTGTAGTGAAAATTAGTTTTTTAAAGTGGTTTTTTCATTCTTATTCTTTCAATTCCAATATCTAAGTTTATCATTTCCTTCTCGGTTTAGTTTCTGCATTTTAAGGGGGCAATTCTAAATTACTTATTCTTTTTCTTTCAATACTGCTGGGTCAAAATGTTACACAAAACTGATGCAGAAAATGTGAGATCATTTCCATATGAAAACAAATGCCAATGGCTTAATGCTAATGCACAGAAATTAACCTCCAAGTTCTGACAAAAATGACATGACCTTTTTTGGAAAGAACTTTTCATGATAATGTCGGTCTTGCCAAAGATTGATGTACAGTAATACATTTTCACTTTAATAAATTATTTCAAGCATTCATTCTGAGAAACATTTCTTGAAGCCCAGTTCTAATTAAAAAAATAATTTACTATTGCTGCTTCATTTTGATTCTTCATTTTTGCAAAAAGGTAGAAACTTTGTGAGTGCCTGCCATAAAGACTTTCAAGCAAAGCTGTTTTGAGTCTGCAAAAATTTTACTAAATTTTGCCAGTCTAGAAAATGCTCCATAAAATAATTGGTTCTTTTCATTTTGGCGTGGGCGCCTTTTTTAATGAACATTGGAAATTATAGGTCTTGAAAAATCTTTTGTTATGCAGAACCATTCATCTTTGAAAAAAAAAATGCTTCGCAGGTCGCATCAGAACACAAAACATAAAACACAGATGCTAATGATCTCTTTGGAAAATGCTTTTTGGATTGAGTATGCACAGTAGTAAAAATTAGTTTTTAGAGTGGCTTTTCCATTCTTATTCTTTCAATTCCATTATCTGAGTTTATCAATTCCTTCCCGGTTTAGTTTCTGCATTTGAAGGGGGCAAGTCTAAATTACTTGTTCCTTTTCTTTCAATACTGCTGGGTCGAAATGTTACACAAAACTGATGCAGAAAATGTGAGACCATTTCTATAAGAAAACAAATGCCAATGGCCTAATGCTAATACACAGAAATTAATCTCCAAGTTCTGACAGAAATGACATGACCTTTTTGGAAAGAACTTTTCATGATAATGTTGGTCTTGCCAAAGATTGATGTACAGTAATACATTTTCACTGTAATAAATTATTTCAAGCATTCATTCTGGAAAACATTTTTTGAAGCCCAGTTCTAATTAAAAAAAAAATTCCACTATTGCTGCTTCATTTTGATTCTTCATTTTTGCAAAAAGGTAGAAACTTTGTGAGTGCCTGCCATAAAGACTTTCAAGCAAAGCTGTTTTGAGTCTGCAAAAATTTTACTAAATTTTGCCAGTCTGCAGAAATTTTTTGGGTAATTTTCCAGTTTTAAAACATTTTCATGGATATTTTCTGGTCTGAGAGCCCACAAATATTGGAAAACAATGATATGACACTGTTCTAAAGGGACTATCAAAAATTCCACACATAGGGAAGTTTTTTTTTACTTATGGATGTTCAAGTTAGCAAGCTCCAACTGTACTATATACTATGAGGAGACTGAATCAAAACTAAAATGACTGCAATCTCATTTGGGTTCACATTCACCTTTTCTGCATTCATAGTTCTTGAAATTTTACTCCTTGAAAAAAATTATTTTAAAAATTCCTGTTCAATCAGTTTTGAATTATTTTGTTCCATGTTTCTTGCAAATACTGTACTGAACACAAAAAATATTACGCTGAAAGATATTTTGCTTGTTTTGCCATGTCTGACTATAATATGATTTATTGCCGACGTTTTTTTTTTTCCTTCTAACTGAGATGTGGCAAATTATATACACCCAGGGTCTGGTAAATTCAAAAGTTTACAGTTATATACAGCTCTTATAACCTATCATCCCCGCGGATTCGGTGCCTGCATTGCGTGTAAATACAAGCTGGCCCCACGCAGCACACTAATACCCGACCCGGCCCTGGTCCTCATCATAATATGCGCAAACAGCAGCAGTCCAGCACAGGACCAGCTGGGATCAATGCCCTCGCCAGAATGTCGATCAATGCCCAGCTAAGAATGTACTGTACCTGCACGACACTCCCGAGACCATCAGACAGACACCCGGTATAACGGTCATCAAACGTGTCTTTTTTCATGCATTATTATTTTTCTTTTTTGGAATAAACGGAATGGCCGCGTCACGCGCGCAAATAAAATCCACGCGGAAAATTGTCAGCACCCGGATTAAACTCGTTTTATTACCGCATTTGTCCTGTGTTTTTCGAAAATGACGACAAAATATAAGAACAACCACGAAATATCACATGATTGCTGCATGACGAGGTCATTCACTTCAATGTTGGAGCATTAAACTGTGGATTAGATCAGCCACGAGCAAAAAAAAAATATACTGGCGAAATGGGGATAATTGGAAATGTAAAAAATACTTACTGCGAACATTTATGCATGGAAAATGACTTACCCTACAAATTAAGTATCGTTTTACAACGAAGTTACTCAAAAGAAAGATCTAAAACAAAATTGCATCATGATGAGATTTTTAAAATATTCAGACTTTTTTTTCGAATTGAACAGATAATTTCTTTAAATCCGAGTTTTTCTGTCAATACGGGACCAATATCAAGCATAATAACAACACTCTCGAACATAATGCAAACAAAAAGTTGACAAACAACCAGGACAAGCATTTCTTCAATTAAAAAAAAAATCTTGAATCAGATGGACTTATGGAAGGATTCAATGTTTTCATCTTGATAACTATTTTGGTACTACTGCCAGCAGCAAATTTTCATACAGAAATTACTTTTCTATTCAGAAATGAATGCAGAAATTTGTAAAAAAAAAGTATATACTTTGATGATTATACAGTACAGTACATGAAAGCAGTGGAAAAATGTGACCCAGACAATGATTTGTTTCCATCATAAATCTTGAAAGCTAATCATCAACACATTTGTCATACTACAACCCATACAGCTTTCCAGCCAAAACCCTTGAAATTGTTTTATAAAGAATAATTTCAAGCAATGTACACACAAAAATTTTGAAAATGTTACCTTTATTGCAAAGGTAGCCAAGAGAAAAATTCATGAGAAACAGGTGAAAATTATAATGTGCATGAACCAATGAATATAGAAAAGATGGATTCTGCCAGAATTGACAGTTGATGTACAAATATTTTCCAGTGAGTTCTTGTTCTACAAAAGTGCAAAATGACACTTTTGCATTACATTTATTTTTGGGGTGAAAAAGTGACTCACATAAAAAATGCCATGCAAAAAAAAACAGTAGCCAATTATTAATGCATGCTTAAATAGTGCAGTGGTTTATTTCTGGTATGTAAACAATTATAAATCATCAAAGAAGTCTAAATGCAGTTTTATAGTGATATTGTATTTCATTTTCAATCCTAATTTTCAATATACAGTACATGATGTAGGTAATATAAGAAATGTATACAAAGTCCACAAGTTTCAAACTCCACAAGATTTCCACCCAGATTGATGCAAGTTTATTACTTCAAAAGGCAAAGTTCAGCTGTGAAAATCATTGGAGAAGTACACAGTTGATATCCAGAAGAATGCAGGGATGAAGGCTCCAAATGAAGGCAACATCTTTCCCAGGGTTCCTCACCTTTCTGTTGAGAAAGATGAGGAAGTGAAGGTGAGGTTTTATTGAGAAAGATAATCCCTATACCTCTCAAACCCTTGGAAGGAATTCAAACCCTCCCCCTTTCACAATTTCATAATCCACCAGATTTGTATTCCTCCCAGACAGTTGGAAGGGAAACCTACAGACAATTTTACAATTTTGTAGTAATCATTAGGATTTTTGTCCCTACAAGATTTTTGCACCTCGAGAGATTTTTGGGCCATGAGATTTTTTCTCCTACCAGATTTTATCATGGAGCCATCAGGAGCATGAAGTTTCAATCATCACTTCAATTTCAAATGGAAAAAGTGTATGCTGAAAATTTGCAAAACTACACAGTTTTGAAGGTTTACTTAGGCATTTAGTGAGTGCTTTAAACAGATGGAACATTTCTTAAATACAGTAATGTGGTAACTTGAGGAAAAATCATGTTTTCCAGGAGGCAAATTTTACAGGACAAAATGCATTCAGAAACTGATCAGTTTCTTCAGTCAACCCTGCACAACAGACTGGCTCTGGAGGCAGTTTTCCCTCCCATGCAATGGACTAAATCCACATAACAGACTTCTTGTTGGTTTAAAAATGATGGTAAAAAGTAATAAAATATTACTTTTTCAATAATTGAATTAGCATAACACACTCTTCACCCAACAGAGTACTGTACAGTAGTACGTTGCAAAAAATTAAGTCCATTGTCTGGGGGTTCACTGGATTGAGAAACCATCTCTATAAGATACATGAATGAAAGAATGAACAGAAAACTTTATTTGCCTTTTCAGCATTCACAAGGCACAACCAAGACTCCCACATCCAAACCCCCTCCCCACCCAACCCACCTCCCCCCCCAAAGACATTCAATCACTTCAAAGCATGAAACAAAGCACAAACAAATGACAAAATGGGAGTCTTGGTTGTGCCTTGTGAATGCTGAAAAGGCAAATAAAGTTTTCTGTTCATTCAATCACTTCAAAGCATGAAACAAAGCACAAACAAATGACAAAAACAGAAGAGAACAAACTCCACAAAATAAAACTGGACATCCTACATGTATGCTGCATACACCCACCCATCCCCAATGTTGAAGACAAAGCAGCAGTAAAAGTTTATTTAAAGCACAAGGTTTTCAGCCTGTTTCTGTATGAGTAGCTTACTTGGTTTGCAGAAAAAACCTTTTTGTGTCAGAACCCTGATAGGAGTCACAAACTCAGCAGAAAATAAATTTAAAAGTTTTTTGAAAGTGAAACAACGCGCAACTTCTGAGCTATAAATTATTCATTCAAATTTGCACCCTTCAGAAGAAATGTTTTAAGTCTCTCTTA